CAGCACAAATATTCCTGAGCTGAGGTGGTACAGGGTAGAATAGACATTTTCTGTCAATTCACAATCTAAGAGAAAGATAATTTCAGGAGCCCATTATTCTCTGATCTTTATCTGTGTCCAGATCCCTCCTCTGAAGCACACAGGTAATGAGAACACTAAAGGCTTTATAATTAAAAACATTTCCAGGAGTGTTTAGGACAGGGGAAGACTAGAAAGAGGGATTAAGCACCCCCTGGAAAAAATAATAACTTTTACTTCTACCGAAATGCCCCCAAATGTCCTTTAGAGTGTGTGGGGCCATTTTTGCCATGTATTGTCTCCCTGGGGCATTTTAGGAATAGGAGAGACCTTTTTTACAACTCAGAAGTCCCTTCCCGTTAACTTTGTTTTTTAAAAAATGCTATCCTGGCCTCAAATGCCCAAGGGAAAGTAAAAACCTCTCCCCACAGCCAAAGAGGGCATGAGGGGAGGTTTGAATAATAATTAATTAATTAAAATGTTTTCTAAAAAAAGAAATTGACACCTAGGGGAGATGCCGGGGGACCACAAAGTAAGCCCTGAAGTCTGCATATGGGCTACACTTTGTCACTCTTGGCAAAGGGTATGATCTGTAAGGCAATGTTGGAATTCTGTCTTGTAGGTCACACCCTAAACATTTACTTATTCAAATCTTGTGAGCAGGCAGAAGTAGCTATTTTTGTCAACTGCTGTGGCTGCACCATGGTCCACTGTGACAGGGAAAGGGTAAGTATAGTATATGTATATGTGGCATATCACATGGGAGTAAACAGCACACACTGCCAGCCACCCATCCATAGCTAACGTACTTGCTCCTTCTATGAAATTTCTCTTGTTACATCTGTACTCAACATAGACTGTAGCATATTGGCTTCTGTTCCCAATCAATTTGCAAGCCATTGTAAAATATGACCATCTGTTTTATAGGCTTTGGTGTGGTTTTTAACTTACCAGTTCCTGGTCTAATGCTCCAGGTACAGATTTACTTCTTATACTTAAAGTATCATCATTGCCTTCAGAAAAAGACACACTGAGATCTATCTCTGATCTGCTGCGATCTGTAAAACAGAAAGGGAAAGGAAATGCTGTTTGAAAACACTGAAATTCTGGACCATGACAACAACTATCAGGTCAGAATGCACAGGGAAGCCATTACATCCATAAACATGGACAACTTCAACAGGAAAGAAGAAACCCTTAAAGCCATATTGGAGAATGCATGGCACTTGTGCCAGAGAGGGCATGAGAAGCTATCTCTGAGGGCACACGGACTGTTTTGCCTCTGTTGTCATAGCAGTATTAGTCATGCCAGGAGGGTGAGAGCATGGCCTGGAGCCTTGGGAACTGTAGTTTACTTTCCCATTGAATTTACTGGGGGTGGATTGTTTTTTTTGTGTGTTTGTTTGTTTGTTTTGAACTTTATTTGGTCATGTCCTCCATTTTTTTTCCTAGTCTGTTTTCCCCTGGAAGTCCTGCCCCCAGAAGCCCTGCCCCTGGAAGTCCCATCCCTGGCACCTGGTGACATCGGTGTGGGAATGCCACTGAGTTTGGTCACTTGGTCTCTAAAAGGTTCACTATCACTGCTTTAAAGTAAACAAAGTTTGGTCCTGAAAAACACCAAAATCAAGACCCAGCAAATGCAAATGAAAACCATCAAGGCTGAGGGGGTTTCCCAGAAGACAATGGATCATTAATTAAATAGACATCCTGAAGCCTTGCCATTCAACAACAGAACAATACATAGATTAACATGTAAATCGCTTCCTCTCAACCAACAGTACACACACACACACACACCCCACTCTCTTCCATGCCAACATTTTCTGAAGATGCCAGCCACAGCTGTTTGGGAAATGTCAGGAATAAACTCTTATAGAACATGGTCTCATAGCCCGAAAAACCCACAAAAAACCCTATGAAAATCTATGTCCTTTGAAATGTAGACTACAAATACTATTCCAATAACTTCTTTGCATGTTTGTGCATAAGTGGTACTCAAACTATCTCCAGCTTTCCACAGCTGTCGACCATCCTCCTTTAACCCACCTTCTTGTTGAAAGAGACAGAGAAGGAAAAGTGCAGAAACAGCACTGGGTTAATAAATATTTTTACTTGTAGGTTCAATTTTTTAAAGTTTCTGCTATGCTTTCATTTAAAGGAGATAAAGGAGAAAAAACATACTTTGCAGAAATGAGTCATTAATCCACAGCACCATTATGGGTTGCATCCCATACTGTCATTAAATTTAAGAAAGGAAATACACATACTATACATTTCAATTAACAAAGATCTATTGGTGTTATGCAACTAATTTTTAAGGAAGCAAACATATTAAAATTTATTAGAAAATTCTTCTTTCTGCAGCAATACCACATTCTGGAAAGGGTTAGAATTTACAGATGCATTAAGCCAGGGGTAGGCAATCCAAGGCCCAGGGGCCGGATGCGGCCCCCCAAGGCCTTTGGACCGGCCCCAGGCTGGTCCTGCCGCTGCCGCCTCTGCTGCTGCCCCCTGCTGCCTCCCACCGCTGCCCACCATGATGATATTGATTATTGTTATTACTTGTTCTTGGGGTTTTCTTGGCAAAATCTCCACAGGGGTTTTGTCATGGCTTTTCTGGGGCTGAGAGAGTGTGCATGCATATTTTTATATTTTTTTAATTATTTAAATTTCATATTTATTTATTTATTTATTTTTGGTGCTGCCCCCTCCCCAATTGTCTGAGGGACAGCAACCCGGCCCCCGGCTCAAAAAGGTTGCCTACCCCTGCTTTAAGCATAACTGCATGTTTCTTTTTAAGCGTTATCAGAAAGAGATAACAATTTCATTTTATTAATTGTATAACAGATCAAAATTATTGATTTATATAATAGATTGTATTTAATATATCTTTGAAATCATCATATTGTACAATATTTGCAATTAAATCCATTGAAAATTTTATATGAACATCATTGTGACTAGATAACTATATGGTTATGTTATATGGACTAACTGTATAAATTGAGAGGCTGGAGAGATCTGTTTGCAGTTACTGTGTGGGGAAGGGAGACAACGTCCTGG